CCCGAGCAGGCCCCGCTTCTGGCCTGGCAGAGCCAAAGGCCATTCCGGGCTGGGGATCCTGACACGGGGGGGACACCCGGGCGTGGGGAGAGCCCCCCATGCCCTGCTGCCCCTGGAGAAGGGGCCTCCGTGGGCACTGAGGCCTGGCGTTCACCCCTGTGGGCAGCAGGGAGGGCAGCCAGGGGAGGGCACGCCCCGTCTTCCCCGCTGACGGGCACCCCGCTCTCCTTCCTTATCCCCCAGTGTTCCAAGATTTCTCAGACGTGCAGAGAAAGAAAATGACACAGCGACCTGGCCGGGCCCAGGCTCAGGGCCATCTCTGCAGGTGCACAGGTGGTCGGACCATCTCGTGCAGAGAGGGGGTGCAGCCTTGAACCTCACATCCTCCCGTGGGGGTCGTGGTGAGGAGGAACTTCAGTGGTTCCTGGCTGCTGCTCCTGGGCTATGCGAGGCCAGGCCGTGTTACCAGCATCCTCCCTCTGCTAGACCTGGCCGGGACAGGAGAGGTTTTGTGGGGTACAGCGCTCGGCATGATGGGAGGTCCTAGCAAATGGAGCAGGGAAGTATGGGGGGAGCGTTTCATGTCTTCCAATCGCAGCAGCCTTGGTTCTTGCCAGGCTCCGTTTATCAACGCAGGCCCTCCCAACTCCCACCCCCACCCCAGCAGAGAGGGTGCTGTCTGCCTTTTCCCAGGGGGAGGGCAGCAGCTACCTGCCGGAGACATCTGAGCCAGGTAGGGAGCACCGCTGTGCCTGGAGGTCACCACCCACCGGCCCGCAGGCACCTGTCAGGTCTGGGAAGCCAGAGGGTCTGACCATTGGCGGAGGGGTGGGCGATGTACGGCACTGTCTGCATTTATCTTGGGCCAGGCAGTGAGTTAAGGATTGTTGGCCTGGATTCTGAATTAAGGAGCCTTTAGAATGAAGGGTCACCCAGGTCTACCCACGTGCAAATCTCCTGCCAGCCTGGACCAAATGGGGGTGGGGACTTGCCTCCGTGACGGTGCTGTCCCTCTTCAGTACCCAGTCATGACAGTGCCACGTGTGTAGGGCCCATCTTCCCAGCACGAAGGCGCCCTGGCATGTGGGCCGCTCCACAGGTCTGCTGCAGGGACAGCTCCCAGGCACCTCCCGGCTTGGCCTCACCCAGCCCTCCCCTGTATTCTGTCCCAGCCTCCCGGGCCCCACTGAGGCCTGACATCTGGCATTCCACCTATGCCACCTCCAGCACGGTATCGCTAATGTTTGGGGACACCCTGCGCCCGACAGACGCTGTTAGGAAACCAGATTCCATCCTATGAGGAAGCCAAGCTAGCAGAGCACGAAGCAGGTTAGGAGGGAAGATGGGCCAGCCGAGGGCTGGGAGACAGACAGGCGAGCGAGCCTTGCCAGGTCATCTTTATTTATTCCATGTCTATTTTTAAAGAGAGCTTTTTGCTTTTAGGCACGTGCACTTGCTGGACAGAGGAAGAGAGGCAGAAAGTGAGAAATCACTTCCCCGGGTGGTGGGGGATGGCCAGGTCACAATCCCTTCTCCCCTGTTCTCCTCTCGGGATTTTGGGCATGCATGCACATGTGCCTGGTGTCAGTTTTAACCGCCAGATCAGGACTCAAATCGGGACTGAAATCGTGGTCAACTCCTTGGGAATCCAACGATGTAACCATTTGCTGTCCGCTCGTTCCTTTTTTTCTTTTTTTGTCTTTTAAAAAGGCAGCAGCTATTCCCGTGGTCTCTGCTGCTCAGTGCTGTAGAGACTTCAGGCCTCCTGGGCTTGCGGGAGGAATGGGTGTACCTCTCAAAGCTCAGGAGGGCACAGAGCAGATGGGTTTTTGAGACTCAAGAAAAGGATCAGTTTGGGGCCCAGCTCTGGGTAGACATCAACCCTGGGCACTGGTGGGGGGGAAGGACCAGGTCTCCATGGGGGGCACCTGTCCCAGAGGGCTAATCTCCAAACCAAGATTCTGGCAGGGCAGGGCCTTGAGAGGTGGGGCCATCTGGGTGGTGGCAGCCCTGGCCCTGCAGAATCTGTTCCGCACCTTGGTCCTGGCCCCCCAGTGGGCGAGGGTGGGGTTTGGGAGCTGGCAGCAAGTGGAAACTACATCAAGGCGAGAGACATGCTGGCCGTGTCCTCGAGGGTCTCACAGGTTAGCGGGGAGCTCATTCATTCATTCATTCATTCATTCAGCAGATGTATATTTGCAAGGTCTATTCGTCTCCACAGACGGAGACAGACGGAGATACCGTAATAGTAGCCCTCAGAGGGTCTTGATGCCATGTTCCACCCCAGCCTCGGCCAGCCCAGGCCGTGGGCACGCGTGCACCTGGCATTCAGAGGTCTCTGGATGGGAACCGGCAACCTTGCCACGCGTGTCAGCCTCGCTGGGCACCACGCTCACCTACATTTCCCGCTGTGCCACCTGGGGCCCCCATGCGATGAGTATTTATGGAGGCTCCCCCACACTCTGCTCGGAGGGTCCTTCAGAGACCAGAATGGAGGCTGCTCCTCTAGAGAAATCAAGGATAGGTGCCCCTCCCCTGGGCGCAGGGCTCTGGTGAGGGAGGTGCTCAGAGCAGGTAGCTCAGAGGCTTCCCAGAGGGAGATCTGGCCTTGAATTCAGGAGGTGGCCAGTCACAGCACCTGGGCCAGAGCGTCCCAGAGGGCAAGGGACAGCCAGGCCAAGGCCCAGGGGCTTGCAACAGGGTGGAGCGTCCATGGCCAGGCGAGGACATGGTCTGGTGGGTCAGGACAGAGAGACAGGGCGTGCAGGGAGGGGAGAGGCAGGAAGGGCAAGCCAGGGCTCCTGCAGGCAGCTTCTGACAGCCGAAGAGAGGCAGGTTCAACTAGCGAGGAGCCT